CTGGTATAAGCACTATAACTATTTGAGCTGCCAGGAAACACTTCCCAGAGGCTTCAGCAAGTCCTCTTATTTCCTGAAATGTGGGCCTGAGAACAGAAGTGTGACGTCTGTTGCATTTCGCACTTTCTAAAGTCTGATGTGAAGTCTTTACCAACTGACTTGTTGGCGCCACATTTTTAAGGAAGCTGATGATAAATGTCACTTCTACTCAAAGTGCAAACATTGAGCAGATTACAGATTTTCTTCTCCTTCAAACCAAAATCCACCATTAAATATAGTTTAGATGAGCAATTTTGTCACTAGAATTCCGTGTCAAACTCTTACCACCAAAAGCTAGCTACTCACTACTGTTTTTGTTGGTATGAAGATAATAAAAACCCTATTTCCACAGAAAAAGAGATGGGGGAAATTTTTGAAGCCTCTTGGTTTGTGCTTTGTTTTAGACATCTGCTATTAGAATATCTAAGTTTTAGATATCTTCAGAATAACAGCAGAACTTGCTGTAATATTATTGTTCCTTATTATTTAGATATATGTGTTTCCTATGGACTTGAAAGGAATTTCTTATCATTATTCTTACCCTTTTGTACAAATTACTGCTGTGAAGAAATTCATAGGACTTTTGAATAAAAAGACGACGAGCCCAGTGACTTAGAATTCATATGTGTTTTGTTCCCTGTAACTTTTTGATTGTGAGTACTGTGTGGAAATATATTTGGCCAATCTACTGTTCTCTTTCCACATATTTAAAGTATCTATAGCTACATAACCACACTTGTAACAATTTACAGAATTTCTTTATGTCATTATTAATTTATTTGTAGTACATGTGATTGTTTTAACATATTTTTCAATTTGGTTTTGATTTTTGCAATCAGAATAGCACATATTTTATATGATTTACAAAATGAAATAATACCACATAGCTTCCCACGATAGTTATCTTCTTATCAAACCCTGATTCCTCTTTCTCCACAACCACTTTAACCTCTTTTGATCGTTTCTTCTGCTGTTTATTTCCATCTCTCCAAATGACATTCTTATATTGCTGCTCTGTTTTCTTATTTGGGCATTGTCTGTTGACTTCTTATCATGAATAAGGAGGAATTAACATTTTTATACAAGCCACCACACATGCATCTCTCTTTCCATTCTTCCAGTGTAGTTATATCAAGGTTTGCATGATTGTGTCTGAGGCACATAGTATATTATGACTTGAATTGTAATTTTTTCTTGTGTGCTTTAGTTTTCCCTATCTTGGGTATTTTACTTGTTTGATTAGTTATTTGTATCACCAGTTTATCCCCAAATTCCTTGCTAGCACTATAAAATTCCTCCCATTATTTTTACTATTATAAAGTTATCCCTTATTAATTACCCTCAGGTAATTTGTACATCCGCTTTTTGTCTTGGAAGCGTCAGTTTTCTTTCTCTGCTCTAATCGGTCTTCCTCTCCAGATTCTGTCGCCTTGAGGTTCCCTTCTTCACAGCCCTGTGGTAGATCCCTTTTTTGTGGATACCATGTCTTCCTTCAGGTTTATTTCAGTTCGATAGAGTGCACTCACCGTAGTAGCTTCCTGAGACAGTCTGTGATTGAGGTATATTTTTTGGGATTTTGCATTCTGTTCTCATATTTGGCAGATGGTTTGGATATAGAATTCTAGAGTACACTCATTTTTTTTTCCCTCAGAGTTTTGAAGGCATTACTTGCTTGTCTTCTAGGATGCCGTGTTACCATTTAAAAACTCCAGTATCTGCTAATTTTTTGATCATACAAGTTATCATTTTTGGCCTTTCTGAAAGTTTTTAAGATCTTTTCTTTGGTATTTTAAATTTTTAACAGGAAGTACCCATATTATAGTCTGTATACAGAAAAATGTATTTAATCTTCTTGAAAAAGTGAGGACAAGAACAACTGTAAATATGACCTAGCAGTGTGGTTTGTACTTCAGCATTTGTAGAATTAGAAGACTCTTCTTACTTTTTGCATTGACTCAGTATTTTATTAAATAGTAGATTCAAGGTATGGCACAACACAAAGGAAACTTCCTTGGTCTACTTTAGCGGGTATCTATTCCAAAACTAAAACAGGCGCCAAATTTTATTCACTAGATAGATAAAGTAGTAGTGACTGTTTTTTAGTGACAGTGAGGGGGTATTTGCAATCTTCATTCTCCTCCTGCTACCATGGTTTTAATACAGTTTTCTTAGAGCAAATGGTTCTATATTTAGCTTTACATTGAGATTATATGCAACATATAGTATTGCATAAACATTATTTAACAGTCCTCTCCTTTGATTTGCATTTTCACTTGGTTTTTGCTTTTCGTCTTTTTTATTAAGGTGTTGAACTGGACTTTGCTGTTAAGTCCAGAAGATGTTTCTTAAATGACCTTGCATACTGAGCCCATCTGGTAAACTCTAGTTCACCACTGGTTTCAAAGAAACCTATACAATGAAAACTACACTAATTCTCTGCAATTATGACAAATTACTCATCATCTTCCCTCTAAAAAAATTCTATAGATACAGCCACAAAGCTATTTTTTACTTCATGCAGGTGTACTACTAAAGCTGTTTGCTTGAAATAGATTCCTGGGAAGTTATTTAGAATTACTGTTTCAGCCTCAATTTGGGTTTGGATAACAGAAACCTCTCTGGAGACCTCCAAAAAACAGTTTAAGAGTGGGATAAGATAAACTGGACAAAAGCATAATACAGAGTTTTCCACAACATTAATGAGGAACATTACTGTTTATTTTTCTTTTACTTTTTTTTGAGTTGGGTTCTCACTCTTGCCCCAGGCTGGAGTGCAGTGGCACAATCACAGCCCACAACAGCCTCGACCTCCCGGGCTCAGAGATCCTTCCACCTCAGCCCCTTGAGTAGCTGTGACTATAGGCACACGCCACCATGCCCAGTTCATGTTTTGCTTTTTTGTAGAAACAAGGTCTCGCTGTGTTGCCTGGGCTGGTCTTAAACTCCTGGGCCCAAACAATTATTTCACCTCGGTGTTCCAGAGTGCTGGAATTACAGGGATGAACCACTGCCCAGTCTAGTGTTTCTTTTTTATTTTTTTGAGTTGGAGTCTCACTCTGTTGCCCAGGCTGCAATGCAGTGGCACATTCATGGCCACTGCAGTCTTGGCCTGCTGGGCTCAGGTAATCCTTCCATCTCAGCCTTCCAAGTAGCTGGAACAACAGGCGCACACTACCACTCCTGGCTAATTTTTTTTATTTATTGAGAGACGAGGTCTCACCAAGTTGCCCAGGCTATTCTTGAACCCCTGGCCTCAGGCAGTCCCCTCACCTCGGCCTTCCAGAGTGCTGGGATTACGGGCTTGAGCCACCGCGACTGGCCCTTAGTATTTCTTAATGCTAGTAGCAGTCATTATTATAGAATCCTGTGTTGCTACAAATATTATTCTCACTCATTAGAGGATTTGAGAACACTTAACTGATCATTGCATCCATCCCTTAGCTCATAATCCCTCTCTTACATTTGGTTTTCTTTGATTTCGAAGAAACCACCTTGGCCTTTGTTTTCACTGGCATCATTCCCTGTCTCTCTGTGGCATCGCCTAGCAACCTCTACTGAACTCTGCTGCTCATATCAAGCCAGTGGGTAGCATGAAGTTTTCGACAAAGAACATTTTTTGATATAGTTAAACTGCTTTGTATAAAACAGAACCTTTCTTATGGAAATAAATCACAGTATATTATGATATTAACTTTGACAAGAATGGAAACTTTAAAAAAGAATTATCATAATATTGCGTCACCAAAATGCAAATATTCTTTTTTCTAAATCTCATTTTTTTTAAATTCAGATAAATGAGAGCATAAGATTTATCAACTTTTTATTAGGAATGATGTTAAGTAATAGATGCTGTTCTTCCAAAGTGGAGAGAAGAAACCAACTTACCATGGACAGATTTTAAATTCTGGGTTTTTGAAGACAAAGTTGTCAAAAAAAAGACTGTCTTTTATCTTACACTTATAAAATAGACTGCAGCATAGTTGAGAGTTCCTTAGATAAAAGACAAAATTCTTTGATATCTTTTCCTGATATGAATATGACAAAAGTTGGAGAATGGTTTAGCAAACATTGTTTTTTATATATATTAATAAAAGGCAGCACTTTATCTGTTTCATCTGGTTCTATAAGAATTTAAAGAGGAAGTGCTTATAGCAACCTGAGGAATCCAGTTCTTCATCCTCCTTGAACTCTTCTTCATTTATCCTTCTTTCTTCAAGTCTCTGCTATCTTACATGAACTGAAAGACCTGTAGAATTGTGTTTGTCTTTCTGATAGATCCACATTTACCTCCCCAAAAACTACGTTTTAAAATTGTGTAGAATATCAGGACTAAAGGGATTTGCTTGGCTGACTACATTTCTCTTTCTTCTGTCAGTTCTTTATATCCACTTGTCATTTTTGGTCTTCTTATATGAGATTCTGTGATTTTTAGGAGGCATCGTCTGCTTTTTTATTTCTTTTTTAAAAATTAGTTTGCCAGCAGTTGTTTATGTGAAGAAAATTGCCTGAAAGATCATGCTGTTTGCTTAACTTTATCACCTAGGCTTAACTTTGCCGGGAAAGAGAATGTTTTGGTATTGGGACTTTACTTAGACTTCCTCAAAGCTGACTTTAAACTTAGTTTACAGAGTAGATCAAAAACAGCTTTGTGTTTAAATAATAAAGGCCTTGCCACCTCTGCTGTCAAACACAGTTTTATTCTCTCTGTTGCAGAGAGCAAATCCATCACATTTGTCTTGCTTAACTAACTTGGCCCTTTGCTCTTAATACTATACTGCTTCAGTCTCCTTTACTTCTTTTCTTTCCTTGTTTTATTCTTTCCTCTGTGAAGATATCTTTTTGGCCTGGATCCTCTTATGAAGGGAAGAACATTTAATGAGCAAATGGCCCTTTCTTGATAAATAGGCTCTCCTTGGGTCAGCCAATTAATCTACTTCACCTAGTCTTCCATCGTTTTCCAGGACAGTCTCCGTAAGAAGGATGACAGGATTGAAGAACTGGAAGAAGCACTAAGAGAAAGTGTACAGATAACAGCAGAGCGGGAAATGGTGCTAGCACAAGAGGAATCAGCCAGGACCAATGCTGAAAAACAGGTCTGCGATTTTATACAGTTACTAGCAATGCTGCTGGTTAAACAAAAGGTAAAACCCAACCAGGGTAGTTTAGGTAAACTATGCATATTGTGTATTTGTAGGGTTTCAAAAGTACTTCATTCAGTATATGTATTTAGACTTCAATAAGAACTGAAATATAGGTGAGTAGTAATTGGCTCATGTTAATGCTGAGGTCTCTGCATTCATAACTTAGGTCTGATGTCATATATATTTATGTGGTGGATGCTCATATACCTGATGAGATGAAACGCAACTTGTCGGCTGGGAGCGGTGACTCAAACCTGTAATCGTAGCACTTTGGGAGGCCAAGGAGAGAGCATTGCCTGAGACCAGGGCTTCAAGAACAGCCTGGGCAACTTGCTGAGACCTCGGCTCTGCAATAAATTTAAACGGTAGCCAGGTGTGGTGGCATGTGCCTGTGGTCCATGCTACCTGAAAAGCTGAGGCAAAAGTATCACCTGAGCCCAGCAGGTCAAGGCTACAGTGGCAATAGAGTGAGACTCTGACTCAAAAAAAAAAAAAGAAAAGAAAGAAGGGGAGGGAGGGCAGGAGGAAGAAATGCAACTTTTCTGTTTGTTGCAATACTGGGCACAAGTCTGGCTTTTAAATTTAATGAGAAAACAACAAACATTTCTGACTCATAGATGTTAATTTCAGAGAGCAAATAGTTTATTTTATACTCTGTCTCATTCAAAGGATCAGTTAAAGTTATAAAAAGTTAATACTGAGTACAAAGGGCCTAGGTACCATACACTTGAGTCCCAGATCAGCTTGTTTCAGCCTTGAGGTTACTGTTAAAGAGTTTTGCTGTTGCTGTTTGGTATTTATTTTGTATATTTTCTACATCTTTTAAGATGCTTTACCCTTGCCTTTGACTTATTAGGAAGATTAACTATAGACGGGAAGTGTGAATGGAAGGAATAGTTTTAACAAGTGCAAGCTGTAGTCCCAATTCCATTCATGAGAACGTGACTTAAAGTTTTGGAACTACTGTGCACAGACATTCATGACATTTAGTTTTACAGTAATTGTTTCCTTTTCATTTCATTGTGGGAGAAACATAAATGCTAACTAGGTAAAAAGAGTTCCATGAGAGAGTGATATGAATCTTTGGGGACTCCCCCCACCCTGATCTGTCCACTGATGTTATTGTGAGCTAAGGTAGTTGAATAGTTAAGAAGGGTCCATTGTCAAGGCAGACATATAGCCCAAGGAGTTCCTTCATAGCCATGTTTGATACAAGGACATGGTTTATTTTGTGTCATGTATAGAAAGAAAGACCATCTTTATTAGCACAGCTAGGGGAAAATTGAACTTTTCACAGAATTAATGTCTTTTAGTTCCCTGTTCCTAGATAAATGCCTTGTCCACTTTCTTCAAATACCTTCCTAGTGTACAAACAGAGCTTGGGTAGTGGAGAGATTCAGAGAAGGGATGGTGACAGCTGTTGTTCCAAGGTGGGGAGGAATTTTCTTTTATCTTCCTTTTACCCCTTTTACATTCTCTCCTCTCTTTTTCAAATCCCCCCTCTCCCCCTTTTTTCTGTAATTTTTTGCTTTGGTCTCCTTATTTATTGACAAGTATTAAATATTAGAGATTGTGCAGAGATTTTGACAATTAATAATAGATCGTGCCATTATAGTATATGGACCTCTATGATGTGTTTTTCTTTTTTAGATTGTTGCATGAACTAATTTTAATGTGCTTTTTTGGTATATTTTACTTATTTATAATTAATATACTTTATTTTTTAGAATCATTTTTAACTTAAGAAAATTGAGCAGAAAGTACAGCGTGTTTCCATTTACTCCTATTTCCACTTCAGTTTTCCGTTATTAATATCTTGCCTGTATGGTATTTGTTAAAACTGATGAACCAATATTGATACATTGTTATTAACTACATAGCCCATGGTTTACATTAGGGTTCACTCTTTGTGATGCATGAGTCCATGGGTTTGCCAAATGTCTAATGATGTGTATCCACTATCACAGTATCATAGAGTAGTTTCACTGTCCTAAAGGTCTTCTGTGCTCCACCTACTTGTCCCTCTTCCATCTCCTCAGTCCCTGATCTTTTAGCTCTCTCTGTAGTTTTGCCTGTTCCTTTACTGATAGCTGGAATCATACAGAAAGTAGCCTTTTCATACTGACGTCTTTCACTTAGCCTCTGCACTTAGGGTTCTTCCATGTCCTTTTGTGGCTTTGTAATAAGCTCCTCTTTATCTCTGAATAATATTCCATTGTATGGAAGTGCCACAGTTTGTTCATTCCTTCACCTGTTGAAGGACATCTTGATACCTTCCAGTTTTTGGCAATCATTAATAAAATTGCTATAAACGTTGGTTTTTATAAGAGATGTTTTCAACTCATTTGCATAAATACCTGCAAGTGTGGCTGCTGGATCGAATGGTAAGATCATATGTTAAGACAGTATTTAGCTTTGTAAGAAACTGCCAAACTGTCTTCCCAAGTGGTTGTATAAATTTTGCTTTTAATTGCATGCTTTTTTCCTTCTCTCTTTCCTGTTTGTCTTGTTTTTCATTATTCTGCTACTCACCGCCTGTCTGAAGTTGTTGCGTGGAATATTGCATGAGACCAGTCATTTGGGCTTTAAGTAGTTCAGGGTATGAAGAAACTGCTTTCACGTTTGTACTTCTGAAGCCTTACAACTTTTATCTACTGTCCCATCCTCCTCTTCTCGTATTTTTATTTTTATCTTTTCCTGTCTTTCAACTCCTGTTAATTTTACTTTTGTGTATTAATTGTATGCGTGGTGGCAAATAATTCTTTTTGAAATGCTTTAAAGGGATGAAGTTTTTTGGCTAGGGATGTTATTCTTATCATCTTCCTCGGGGTCCAAAAATTATGCATTTCTTGCTTAAATTTAGCCTCAGAGAAGAAATGACTGATAGGAAAAGGATGTCTGCATCTCTTGATTCCTCCAAGAGCAAAATAGAACTGTTTAGGAACCATAGTTCTTGTTAAAATAAGACACAGAACTTTCTAAAGTTTCAGCGGGGAAAAACTCCCCAAAGGAAGACATTTCTTGATGCCTTCCCTGTGTTCTCACAGGGTCCCCTTGTAGTACCTGTGTTCCTAATACATTCTGCCCCACATTGAGCCCATGCTGGAAATTGAGAGCAGTTGTGTGATGACCTAATGAAGGAAGAGGCCCTCTAACCTATGTTGGCAACTTGAAGGATAGAAGTGAATGATCCCCTAGGGCAAAGCCCAAGGACTCCTTTTATTTTGTCCCTTTCCACATGGGAATCTTTTTCTGAAATTTTCTCTACTCCGCTTTGGCACATCTTGTGTTTTCTATGATTATGTGAGTCTACTTTCTTAAAATGATCATAAACAAGTTCTCTTCAGCAAGTCTCATAATTACCAGGGGCTAAGGAGCAATATGTCTAGCTTAGTCATACTGTTATAAGCTTAAAAGTTTTGAAATTTTGCTTAACACTTGAAAAGAATGTTTTAAATATAATCACTGGTGTTCTTTGAGGGTAAATTTATTTTTTGAAGAAGTCATTTGTAACCCAACCTACTGACTAAAGAAAGGTTTTATAAAATGCCTGTATAGTAGCAAGACTTTATTATATGGTTCATTAAGCTGTATTTATATTTGGTCCTAAAGAATATTTCTTAATATTTTGAGCAATGATGAAGGTGTATTCTCTGTAAAATAATTAACATTTACACATGTGTTCTGATTTTAATTTTAATGACCCATTTTTTTACAAGTTGGCATTTTGATGTTATTTGGTTTGTATATTAAGTATACAGTCTTGACCTTCAAGGTGATTACATTATGATTTGTTAGGTAATTATAGATTAGTGGGCATTTTAAAGGATTATATATGTATGTATGTATGTATGTATGTATGTAGAGACAAGGTCCCACTGTTTTGCCTAGGTTGGAGCGTAGTGGTATGATCATAGCTCACTGAAGCCTGAACTTCTGGGCTCAAATGAACCTCCCATCGCAGCCTCCCAAGTAGCTGGGACTACATGTGTGTGCCACCACACCTGACTCACTTTTTAAAAACGTTTATAAAGATGAGGTCTCGCAATGTCGCCCCATCTGGTCTTGAATTTCTGGCCTCAAGTGATCCTTCTGCCTTGGCCTCCCAAAGTGCAGGAACATGCATGAACCACAGTGCCCAACCTACTTTTAAAGGCTTATTAGGTTCTTTGCTGACTGCAAGTCTACCCATTCACTTATACAGCAGTTATCACCATAATACTCAAGCACATTTCAGATAGAACAGTTGCTACTACATAAACAGCACTGTTAGTAGGGTAACCTGTAGAAGATAATAGAACTATAATTGTGCTCCTCAGTCCTTCTGACCTATTCCCAGAGTACAGTTTAGTTTGGGGTTTTATAAACATAATATTTTACTGGTCTAAATATGTGTTATATTTCCCTCATTGTTTTTTAAATGAAGGTAGTGCATTGAAAATAAGATAAGACTTTTACTTATGCTACCTTTTCTACATTTAAAAATATGTCTTGTATTTTTCTAGATTAAACACTGAAAATGAAAAGGTAATAGATATAGCCCCTGCCTTTTAGAAGCTCATAGTTTATTGGGAAAGACTGAAGAATTAACTTAAAATTATGGTTTAGTTGGGTACCATGGTAGAGTTCTTAATACTGTGTTTTAAGAATTTGGGAGGAGGGGCAAGCATGTGATTTAGACTGGAGAGGTCCACAGAAGACTTCCTGGAGAACGTGGCTATATACGAGTTGAGTCTTAGAAAGAATTAGGCAAAGAAGTGAAGGACGTTCAATGTATTTGATGTAGAGGGAACAGCATAGGTAAAAGCTATACCTAGGAAACTATTGGTGGTTAGTAGCTACGATCCAGGGTAGATATAAATGGCAAGAACTATGTGAGGAAGAGAAGAGAAAATGAGATCGTTAGCCCAAGTGTGCACAGTCAGATCATGCTGAAACATGTTCAGTTTTAT